TCAAATTAACGTACATAATTACGAAGACGAATAGTTAAAACGATCTATCTTGTGGTGTTTTGAAAAAATAAAGTAACACAAAAATGCGAATTACGACAGAAAACGAACACGAACGCATGCGTAACATTATATTGTGCTACAACGGCGGGCATTTTTATACGACTGAAATAAGGGTCTAAGATCGTAATCGGTATTTTCTTATCTTTGTTTACGTGTTTTACGCACTAAAAGATGAAATATACGATTTAAATCGTAAAAAAAGCCCTTACCATAAAGCAAAAAAAAAATTGGTAAATGTCGAAATATGCATAAAAATGCACTAAAAAAGTTTAACTGTCGAAGTCGTCATGTCATGAAAAAAAAAGGTTGTGCTAAATTGGAACACATCATACTTCGATCAGAATAAATATGCAAATGCATATACTTCTACACTCTAGTTGTAAGCAATAACGTCACTGCGTTACGCATAACGTATACGACGCAAATTACGAGGACTCGAGAAAAACTCTTAAGATGGCAACTCTAAGGAAGTACACTGAATCGGAACGGAACGGAATCGAATTCCTACCATCGAAACGGAAGCAAACTTTGTCAGCACATTGCGTCGGAACAAATCGGAAATCCAAGTCCCACGGCCATATTAACTTTGCGCATTTTTCTCTAGAGTTATGATGAATCGGCGTAGAAAATAAACAGGAAGTAATTTAAAATTTATTGATAATCAACCTTGCGTATTATAATTTATACATATAACTTATTGTAAATGTTAACCGTAAAACAATATGAGAAGCACATAATTATTTTTCTTCCCGTTTAATATTTGCCGTTTGGCTTTTTAAATTATAAAATATATACATAAAAATATACTTAAATTATTTTTTGATGCAAGCTTATACGTATTTAAATTAAATTAAAATATTTAAGTGTTATCATTTTATTGCGCTTACATATTATGTATAATATATTGAATGTATATAAAATATAAATTTATAATAAATTATATTGAATATATATTTATACAATACCTATTTAATAATAATTATTCGTCTGATACTTTCAAATTGCCTGCAATTTCTTCTCAAGCATTGTCTTTTATTATAGTATCATAGTAACATTTACGGTCTATGTGATATAAATATGGGTAGTTTTGTAACTTCACGTATAACTTTTTCATCCGACATTTTAAAAAGTTACTTGTGAAAATAAAATCAACTTAGTAGGAACTAAATACATAAGTAACTGGAGTAGTCTAGTACGTGTGTTTTCTGATCTAATACGTATGCGCTTTCGTTCGGAACGCTTCGGAAACCATTAAAATACTGTCGACAAACAATTTGGTTTCGTTCTGATTACTCAGTGTGCGGCAATCTGTAACGCGTACAAACGTTTCTTCGATAAGATAAAAATAAAAAAATAATATGTACCTCACCCCTTGACAATGGTCCGAGTACTATTCGTCGTATCGTTTGACGGGGAAGACCTCGTAAGCGGTAACGGTAAAGAGTACATTCGCGTGGACGGTCTTCGACCGGTTGCGTTCGATGTACTTACGCGACATTAAAATATTGAAACGCGAAGCGACTTAACACGACTGCAACACGACCGTTCGGCGTTCGTTGCGAATGTCCACCCCTACGACGTAGCTGGCTAGACCATCTCCGCCGGGCACTAGACACTCTGCAGTTCAATGGCTCGTCAATCCCGTGAAACGCGTGGTCATCAAACGAGCAACGCGATTGCGTACATGAAGTATAAATATTGCAAATCAAACGCGTACGGACATCCGGTTATTCGGGTCGCAGCGTTGGACAACGGCTGACGGATATGACGTACACTCGTGTTACTCGGCATTGTTCGGATGTCGAGTCGCTCGCCCTAAGACGGGTAATCGGTCAACCGCTGTAGTTGGCAAGTGCTCCAGCAACGGCTCGTACAATAACGTATTCGACATTCAAGCCGATTTGGCCAAAAAAAAAAAAAACGGAGAAGTGGTAGGCTTGCATAAACGGTCCGCCGGAACAGTACGATTTATTACGGTGCTCGGCACGGGAGGCTTTAGGTCCTTTGCCCGGGGAAGGGAGTGGGAAATATTTTTTGGTAGGTATACGCACGTTCTTGAACTGTAATCGAATCAGTCGGCATTAAACAAACAAATATTACATGCATACACGTACGTACCAGTGGCGTATACAGAAAATATTTACGGGAGGGGCTACTATGTTCAGAGTTAAATTACCATTGCTATCTAAGAGATACTAACAAGATACAGTAGGTACTTATCTACATTTCATTTACAGAATATCTCGAAACGATTTGACGTTGAACGCAAATTTTAAATAAGCATAAAGCGCAATTAAAATATAATATACGTTTAAAATAATTTTTATGTTTTTCAAAACATTTCGGGAAGGGGGGAACTATAGCCCACTAGGCCTTCCTATATACGCCACTGGTACGTACACGTAATACAAAGTATACACGATCACAATAATGAAAACATTCAATATAAAAAAGATAAAGATGTCTCGGAAGGGGAGGTGCATGGCCTATATTATGGCCGCCTAAAAGCCGCTGTTGGTGCACGGTGAACGGTCGTAGTAGCGCACAACAACGTCCTGAGCTCCGAGGGGACTGGAAACAGAGCCGTACCGAACCATTTTTTATCCTGAAGTAGAACTGAAGCAATGCGCCCGCTCGGTTGTAGGGTTGTCACACTCACAGATTTTAATATGTATAATACGATTCGGAAAAATCTGAAAGATTGTAATTAGGTTTCTAGCAAAACAAGAAATAAAATTTCTTAAAATAAGTTAATTATTTAATATTTTTGCGCCCCCCAGCTTCAGGCGCCCAAGGCAAGTGACTCGTTCTGACTGGAAACTTTGAGAAATGGCGGAACTCTTCGGCCGAACGGTCGCGTTGTCCGACGACCACGTGGAATCGTAGTTGCTAGAAAACGTTCCCACATCCAATCGCGTATCCAGAGAGACGGGGTCATGAGGATCATAACGCCCCCCCCCCCCCCAAAAAAAAAAAAACTATCGAGATTAAGTTTTTCGTGTTTGTTTTAAATTAAATTATGCAATAAAACGTAGGAGATTAAACTCAGTTATTTAATTTAAAAAATTTTACATTTTTAACGAAATTAATAATGTTCTAATTTTCATTAATAATTTATTTTTATTATTTTTTAACTGCATATTATTGGTTACTTCAAGAAAATTACCACCATCCCTCGATTATATCTCTACACGTACATCCGTGCACACGGTTATGGCCCAATACAATCCATTATTATCAATATTATTACAATTAACAAATTTAAAATTATTATTTAAATCTCGATTTATAATAATCTAATGAATAACAATTAAAAACAAATTAAAAAAACAGCGGTGGGCGTGGTAATTATTGTTCCCGAACACGACCGAATATCGTTGGAACTGAACAAGCATTTTCGTTGATCGTTCCATCATTCGAGCGAACGTTTACAAGCGACGGCTCACGAATATTGTCTCGCATAATGTTTGTCATTATTTTGAATTTTGATGCTTGTTAATTAGATCATTGCTTCTCAAACTTTTTTGTCGTGGGGCCCACCTAATTTAATGTAAAACTTTCAAGGCTCTCTTAATCAAAATCATAAATTATTTTTTTTCTTTATTTTATATATTAAAATAACATGTACTATTTCACTCAGCTTAACCATAAATATATATATTAAATATTTTTTAATATAATTTTGAAAAAGCTTTATATAGTATTAAACTTCATACATGTATATATGTAAATAAATTAAGTTTTAAAGAAAACAGTTTGAATAAAATAAGTATTTCACGGCTCTCCAGTAATATAGGTACGCCCCCCTAGGGCACGGCGGCTACCAGTTTAAGAAGCACTGAATTAGATGATCATAAAAAACGAGAAGAAAATAAAAAAAATTCGGATTTCTTGTAATACTTTTACTGATTCCGGATAAATCATAACTGTAAACTTTTGTGAAATAGACGTTGCGTACAATAAATCATTTCTGAAGTCTGTTGGTTCATTTGGTTATGATTTAGATCTGATAATCTTGGATGACAATGTAGGAAAAATAACAAAATCAAATTAATGGATTAAAGTATTGTATCATAATTTATTATAAAACATTTTAACCAACGCCAAAAATAGATCTCAAATTATTTTAATGTTCAATAAAAAAAAAAACTTTCATCATTTCCAACCAAAATAAATAAAAAAAAAAAATATAATTAATAATAATAATAAAAATGTCATATTTTTTTTTTATAAATTTAAAAATATAAAAAACGAAATGTTAGTGTACAAAGTTATTATTTTCTCTTAATTTACTACTAGTTGTTATAAAAGTTTGAATACAATAACTAAACTAACTTAAAGAGGTTTAAATATATTTAAACAATTAAGAATATTAAAAAATAAAGAAAAAATGCAATACAAACTTTCAAGTAAATAATTCGATATTAAAATGCAGAATTTCATGATTTTGAAAATAATTATAATTATCATAACTTAAAATGTTCACATAGTGTTAGAAAAATATACTGAGAAAATAACAAAAAATATTCATAACCTTTACAAGGTAGTTAATGAATAACATAAATGTATACTTGAACAGTTTAATTTTGTTAGCAATACATTTTAATAGTAATAATCAACATCGATAAAATATTATGTTTGTACTTATAATAAACGGAAATATAAATGATTTCCAGTTAATGCAAATGATCAGGTCAAATATTCAATAATTTCTTAATAATTAAAAATCATAGTATATAGGAAGCACCAATAAAAACAGACCTCAAAATGGATCATAAATGAAGCCTGATATGAAAAAAAAATGTTTTGAATCTGGAGAGATTTCAAAACTGTTTTTCAACAATAGCAGCTAAATTATAGGAGTAATATGAGTATTCAAATATAAATATCTGTTTAAGTAAAAATACATAAAGGAAACGTTAATGTTTTATACAAATACAATAACCTATGTCTAAAATAAAAATTGTTTTTAAAAATAAGTAATAACTCTTAAAGTAATAATCAATGTTAAATAAAACCTATGAATACAATGTTTTTTCAACCCATTCTTCCATCGTAAAAGAGGCAATATTTTTGTTGTCAGGATCACGTTCTTTGAACATATCTGAAAAAAATATTCAATTACATTTATGGAACATATAAACAGACACCTTAATATACTACTTTAAATAATTCTATGATCAATTAGTTAAATAAACATTAGGTTTATTCTTTCAACATATGATCAAATATCCTTGACAAATATTTAGTTTAACATTAAATTTCAACAGTCAAATAAAACCAAGCTTTCGCTATTAACCCGACTTATTATAAGTATTATAAGTAACATACATTTAATCATAATGTATTATTGTTTATTGTAATTTATACTAACCTATCATAGTCTTTAGTCTTACAGCACACATGATAAAATCGTCAAACATAATATTTCCATCTTTGGTGGCATACCGATGACACATAATATTAAGAATATGCGTATTGAGATGGTAACCAACTGAATTCAATGCTTGCCTTAGTTGGAAACCATTAATGTAACCTTGGCTCTCTTTATCGTACATTTTGAATACAATCTAAAACAACACAAGTAGATATTTTATTATCAAGAAATTCTGTCCTAACCATTTCTATTTCTTGGTTATTACCTTCCACTGTCTAATGTCAATCCAAAGGCTTTTAAATTCTTCAAACCCGAGTTTTCCTGATCGATCCCAATCCATCATAGCAATCATACTACGACATACATCTTTGGAAAATCCAGCTTTTTCCATATCTGAAAATTTTAGAATTTCAGAAAAATTATTTTAACTTTTTATTAATTACCTACACTGATATTCAAAAAGATCTATTGATCATCACTTGATTTTTATTTAAAATACTTACTAAATGTTGAGGCTAATGGCGATCCTTGACAGAAAGCCTCACAGAATGTTTGAAGCAAGTTGAGAAGTATATTATCTCCAGAAGCTGTATTACTTGCCACATCTACAAATGGTATAATCAAACAAGGCAACTATGTTAATTAAGGTACAAACTCAAGCAAAAAAATCTTATGTACAAGTTTAAAATATGTTCTTAGTAAAATATTATGTATATGTAATGATAACACTGTAACACATGATTATTATTATTAATTTGAGGTTAATTCAACGTATATCAAGACCGTTTTGTACGTTGTATTGTACACCTTGTAATTATGATTTGTGACATGTATTTATAATAATTAAAATAAATAAAGTTCACTTTGAGATGTTATTGTAATTAATAAATTAAAATAAATGAATATAATACAGTATACAAGAAAATGAGATGTTATTCAATATAAAATGTATTTTTTTTTTAATTTAGGTACTTTTTACTTTTAACTAATAAGTTTAAGGTATAGATTTAATAATTTTATACATCAAGGTAATATACATATTTGTCAGGTAACAGACACAATTAAAATTGTATTCAAAATTATATGTTAGAAAAAAATCCTAAATGATTTTTTAATGTAAGCAAGTTTCAGAAGTCACCAATTAATTGTTAATAATATTGGTATTTCAATAAGTTTCTTAAAAATACAAATTTAGAACAAAATATCAATACAAGTGATAATGTATGCGGAAAGTTCATTATACAGAAATTATTTTTTACTATTCAAACGTTCAAAAACTTTAACACAAAAAATAAAATGTTATGTAGTTAAGTAATGGTTAAATCCATACAATTAAAAACCGACAAATTAAGGAAATCATACAACTAATATGGTAGATTAATTCATTATGTAAACTATTCAGTTTTATTATAAAACAAACCAATTTAATATTAATATTAATTAAATTTTGTACCATATGTATTATAGTTGATGGCATTATATGTACAATTATTACTTAATAGAAACTCAACAAACCATTTCTCATAGCATAATCCAAAATATCTTTAAGCTCCATCCAATCAACTTCTTGATCTTCACCAGCCAATTTAAGGAAGAACTCTTTGATCTTCTCATTGGCCTTATCAACTTTATCTGGCTCTGGTTCCTGTTCTTTAATCTAAAAACAAATATGAAATTTATAAAATCCTAACTTAATGTTTGCGTAGGTATTATATAAATCTTACCTTAATATCAACTTCACCCATTCCAACTTCATCGTCAAGTTCCCTTAAAAAAAAAAAATTGATTTTTAATACACCTAAATAGTTAAGAAAAATATTATCACAATATTTTTATCACTTACGCCATGTTATTTTCATGTTCTGAGAATACCCTGAGTAAAAATTCACCTTGTTCATTGGGATCAAACGTAGAAGGCACAATACAATAAGTACCAGGAGGTAGACTAAATCTACTACTGACTTCTCTTAAATTAATAAAAGTAGGACTTCTTGCAATGGACGCAGTATACTTAAAAAAATTTTGATCTAATGGTTTTGGCAATGAATCTGGATTGATAAGCTAAAAAATAAAATACTACATACCAATACTACACTATAATAATGTTAAAATAAATTATTCGAAAAAGTTAGTTCTATCGGTACGAAAATATTAATCTTAAATATTTAATTAACTGTCATTTACTAATTATGATTGCTGATTTTTATACATAATTTATATTTTTATATCTTTTTCTTATCCTTCGGCTTTCTCTCAACTATTTGGGGTCGGCCATCCTTGTCCTATAATCTCCATTCGTATCAATTTTCTACATCCCTACGCACACATTAACGGCTTTCGTATCATATTCAATCGAACCCAACTATCTCTTTTTTGGTATTCTTCTTCCCTATTTCTCTTCAACGTTAATTTTCATTACAACTCTTACTGCATTTGTTTCCTCTCGTCTCATCACATACCCAAACCGTCTCAGTCTATTTTCTCTCATCTTGTCAACTATAATAATTTATATTTTTATATATAATATTTATATTATATTGTTCAAAACTAATCGATTATAATTTTTGCATTGTTTAAATAAATGTATTACTTGATACACAGCGAATCCAATTGTCAAACACTCAGCTCCTATCTTTCGCTGAGCACGTCTATTCTTTTGCATCAAAGCAATAATTACTGTACACTTTCGTTCTTCATCTTCGTCGTCAGGATCTTCTAACGTAATACGATACTGTGGATTACTAGCAAATGTATCTAAATATGAAAGTATAAAATTTAACATAATATATTTTAATTATAACAATACATTTCTAGAAAATATAAGTACCTAGAAAATTTCTACATCCACCAGCAGTTGCACCTCGAACCCATTCACCTTCAAATACACTCATTTCCCATCTCTTGTTGGAGTCCTCGCCTAGTTGCTCTTTGGTTAGAACATCAGGATTTAAATTGCAAATTTCCAAACGGGAAAAATATTTGACAAAGTCTTTATACGACATCCAAAACTCGCCATCAGCATCAAATGTTAAGCCTAATGATTGCTGGTCCGATTCAGATATAAATCTCCATTCGGGTGATCTGTAAATTAATTTCAATTAATAACAACACACATTTACTGTATACGAACTTGTACAAAATATTTATAATAAATGTTGTGCTTACTTATCACTCCATGGTCCGTTCCATTCTGCCTCATTACCCCACGGATTTCGGAGTCTGAGCAATGGTATTTTACCAGTGGTATTAGGCGTTGTTATGTCCACATATGTTACCCTTGTAATACTATATGCATGACCTTTAACCAATCCTTGTGGTGTTTCCATTTCTGTGACACTCGGATCAGCCTATATAAATAGAAACATTTTATAAACTATATGCTAAAATAATGATTTTAATTAGAAAATAAATAAAGACTATTAATATAAATATTGATAAAAATCAAAAAGATGGAAAAATTATTTTTATTTGGTAAATCTTTAAAAATAAATGATGTTTAATAATAAAACAGGTTTTAGTAAAATAAAATATACATAGACTCAAAACACTTTATAGTATCTGTTTATTAAATAAAATTTAATTTTACTAGTATAACTGTCGAAACTCGAACCCATTCTATTTTTATATTACCTCGATTGAGCAACCCATGAGTGATTGCCGTTGAAATGCTTTCAGCATGATAGTAAACAAATTAGGTGGTACTTCGTTTAATTCATACATTTCTGACACACCACCAGTAAAATCTTCCATAGCCTCACATGTACTGCCACCTTTTAATGCTTCATATGATCCATGAATTCTAGAACATTATGTATAATAACATTTAAGCAAAATCTAATAAAATAATTTTATTTAACTATTTTGTCAAGGAATTAAAAAAATGTAAAACTAAATTAATCAAATATCAGTATTTAAATGTCACAATTGTATTTATAATTTCAAATATTTTTCAAATACACACAGACCATATTATAGAAATTAAAAAAAAAGTTAAAAATATGTCGGTTTAATTTTTTGCTGTCTTAATAATTACCTTTTTACCAATTGTTTTTCCCTTTAAATATCATTGAATGCTGAAAAGAAGATTTCTTTTTATTTAAATTTTAAAATTACTTGTGAGAATAATTTTATTTTAACAATAAGATTACCTAGGATTGCAATCCATTTAAGAATAAATGAGTTTTCCCTTTTATTACATCTTATATCTACATTATATTTTAATATTTTTAGTATTTATTGAACGAAATTATTATTAAGAAGAAAAGTATTAAAAAAAATATTTACATATTTCAGATAATAAACTGTTCCTACTATATAGTGAAACCTAGACTGGAATAAATTTGAATGCAGAAAACGTTGATATTTTATAGAATGTTCAAATATATAAATATACATATTAAAATGTATTATGAATAAAATCGAAGAATTCGATTCCAAATTTTTGTCGGATCATATTTTTATAAATCTATAGTTACATTTTCTATTTGAATTTGAATTGAAATTAAATTAAATAAATTTCTATATTGATTCTTCATGGTAACACATACTATTCAAAATTGAAAATATGAGTTTTTTTCCATAGTAAGTATACACATTTTTTAATATCGATTTATGGCATTAATAATTATACTTAAAATAACCTAAAAAACAAATTTTAAAGAGTTCGTATAAACATTTTTAAAAATTACATTGGTAAAAGCAAATATTTTAAATTATCTAAAATTTCAATACTTAGTAATGCTAAATAACTTTCTTTAAATTAAAGACACAACTCATAAAATGACAAAATGATAAGATTAAAAAAAAAATATTAAACCTTAAAACAATTCTCTTAAATTAATTCAATGATTGCACTTTTGACAATTAATTTTTATAAGTTAGGTAAATTTATTAATTGGTGTAAATAAATAATTATAATTTACTTGGCGTAGGCTTTCTCTAAAAGTGCACTCCAAAATTCATTTTCGGTAGCAGAATGAAGAAATATTAATTTTCCATGATAGGTTGGTAAACGATCATCTACAACTACATCAACCCATCTACCATACTGCCAAAATCTGGAAAAAACGACTTGAAAATTTTAAATAATGTACATATATAAATATAAATCGAAATGTATTTACCTGAAGTGAAATATACCAGCGTATTTGTCCTCAAATCCTTGATCATTTGGCACAACCTGATAGAAAAGTTTTTCGTTCAAAGTCAAATTGGCCACAGCAGCTAACAACCAACAGTCACCTAAACAAATTAATGGTATCATTAATAGTTTATGTTTTGTTATATTTTTTTATTTGACCGTATGCATAATACTTGTATACAATTCAAGATATGAAATCAATTCATTTTTTATATATATATATATATATATATATTTCGTTATTTACCCAATTCTCCTTGCTGTACGTCAAATCTTGAAGCTCCTTCGATAAATAACTGAGGGTTGCTGGCGATTTCCTTAAAAATAAATTCAGAATAATACTAAATTTGTGCACAAAAATAAATGGTAAAAACATGCTTACATTTGGTCTCAGCCATTTAAATGACTTATCCGGTGCTTTGCTATAAAACAACGATGAATCGACCGTATCAAAATCTGGATCTTCAAAAAGTGCTCCTTGTTGTAGACATTGATCTCGGAGTACTTCAAAGTCCTGAACCTCTCCAGCTCTCGGTCGAAAACCGGAACCGCGTTCACCAATCTTTAACATTTCAAAAATAAATTAAATGTATAGTTGAACACTCAAGTATAATGCCGTATACTAAATTGTTGCGTGAAATATAAACTAGTAACACTATTTTATGATGGCGACATTCAAAACTGTCATTATATATTTTTCTCTACCTAACAGTTTTATTTTTATTTTTTAAAAGAAAGGTCAATAATTCCCTAAGGAATAACGTCGTTATAATATCTTTAACTAGTTAAATGTTTTAGTTTATTATTGTTATAAGTTTGCGTAGATATACGAAAAGCACATTAAAAATATGCATCATTACATAAAATCTCATGAAAAAACATACCTCAAAATTATTTAAAAATCGAAAAACTTATTTTCTCCATGGTTGTTTTGGTATTTTAAATAAATTAATATTCATATCTTACCACGATTTTCTGATATGAATAATTTTCAATTGAAAAAGAACGAATTTTCAAACATGACTTTATAATAATTTGGTGGACCCTCGATGATGAAGAGAGTATAATAAGTATAATATTTTAACTATATAACAATATAGATTATATCATAACTGATGTATTTGTAACCCTTTTACAAATTCATTAGATACAAATACATTTCATAAAGATAACATTAAAAATACAATAATTTGAATATGTTTTTTTTCGCATTTTTATAAAAAAAAACAAATTGTTATAATTGTTATCGTTTATAGAAAAATATTGGTATTCAGTGTACTTTATTACAATTTGAAATATTTTTTCCATGGTTCGATTGTATTTTTTTTTTTATTTATTTAACTAAGTGAATATATATATAATATATTATGTAGGTACACAACAAATGGAATAAAATAACTGTTGTGTAAAAATTTACCGAATTTCGATTAATTGAAATAAATTATAAATACTTATTTATTAATATTACACAACTTATAGAGACTGTTTAATACTACTAAAGTAGGTCTGTCTTAAGAAATAACACTAATCAAACTACTTATACAATTCATTTTTTACTATTACATCACTATATATTTTAAGTATGACATTAATTAAAATAAGTAGTTTAACTATATTGTCGAGTCACTGACAAATTACTGCGTACTAAAAGTATTTAAAATTATTATTTCCATTATTTACGAATAACAAATAGTTGTAAATGGTTTTCATTTATATATGAATATGGGCGTATCACGTTTCCATCAAAAGTGTAACTTTCCCTTTTCCATCAAAACCACCTAAATCCACCAAATTATATTTTGACTATCAACTACAAGTACATGAACTATATTTTTTTATAAATATGAAAAATACACTATCTATAGATTGAAATACTCGTCGAGTTATATGATATCAAGTAAATAGATTGTTTCTGATTTATCTAATTTAATTGACTTAAAGTACATATATATATACATGAGAAAACTTGTTTTTTAGTTTTATGTATAAATTTATGATTTATAAATATATAGATACATTATGCAATATAAATATGATAATGCTTCACCTTTTTGGTACTGATGGCAAATTATTAAATTATTGCTTTCGTATTTTATTTTAATGTTAAAACAAGTCAATAAAATTAAATTAATTACATAGTTCAATTAAAAGACCATATCAATACTTAAAATACATAGTGTTGTGCTAAATACGTTTAACTAGTAAGTTTTATATTATAAATTGTTTTGGTAGAAACGGGTATCGGTCAAAACATAATTTGGTGTAAACGTATCCCACCCATAAATATAAAATACAGATATTTAAATTGACTCAATAGAACTTGGTTTTAAAGAAATTTAAATAATTTAAAAAAATATTATTCTGATATAAATAAAAACAATTAACTTTAAAAAAAAATGATTTAATAGATCAAAACCCCATCGGGTTATAACATGTAATATTTATAATAAACTAATAAATAATAATCAATAACGTTGCGTTTAAAATGTCAAATTGAATTCAGATAAATTATACTATTTGTATAAATCTGCTTTCCAGTTTGTTAAAAGAAAAATGTGTAACAACGACCTGTTGCTTACAATATTTTTGTGTCTGTTATAATATTATTATAAATTGATATGGGTGCTTTTGAAGTTATAATAGGTTTACCATAAAAATAATGGAAAAAAAAAAACAAAAACATAAGGCAATTAAAAATATAGATAAATCAGTGAAGTCCGGTACAATATATTATAATGACTGTCCAAGAATCAAAAAACTCAAATGTGTGTGTGTGTGTGTATGTGTTTTTGTGTGAATACTATAGTAATAATAAAAACAATGTACGATTCTTACGTAATAAACCAACGTTTTCCGATATCTGTAAGGCATTTGAGGATCTGTGAGTCACAGTGAACGAAAACTAAACTGTATTATGTGCGCGCGACGGACCCCAATCAACTGAACACGGTAGGTGAAAAATATCTAACACAGTGTCTGAGGACGAAATAAAAGGCGTATACTGCACGGATATCGTATACCGTCCTGGACTATCAGCTGCCGCGTGCGTTTTATTGATCGTTTTACGCGTCGACGACCCCAGGGATACTCAACATTTAAACTAAAACTTCGCTCGCCTAAACGGTTAAACGATCATTTCAAATGATGCGAGAACACATTTGTCGCATTCACGACCTATAACTCTGGAATACCAATGACACACGATGCAAACATTTTTATATATTACCAACGGTAATTGCAACGAAATAAAAATTAATAATCATTGTTACGTGCATTATGGAGTTTCAAAACGTGTTGAAATGCTCCGGACAGGGAGTACCTAATACGTATATGCATCAGCTAACCGCCTGAAGACTGCAGTCGCCGTTTATCATTGATATAAATCCTCGAGAGACATCCAAAGCGTTTTATAACTAGATTTAGATAACAAGTCAGTAATTACATTGGTTACGGAAAAGTTTCAACAGAAAATGTTTACATGAGTACACAAAACATGAAATATTCTGTTACCGTCGACCAATAGACAACCTTGAAGTATAATTAAAATGTAGATGTGTTTTAGCTAATGTAATTTGTTCGGTTACTATTTCAAACGATTATTTTTATCTACACGTTTAATCAAAATGTACTGCACAAATTATGTTTTATTATTTCAGTATTTTTTCTAACCTAACCTAACGTGCTACGGTTAGAATATAAAATTTTGAAAAATGTTGTTTTAAGCCATTTTATTTTTATAAAAAATATTCAATTTTGTAAGATTACGAGTATATACATTTTTTTGCACCATGCACAGTATTTTTCTTGCATCTAGTCCAATTAAGTAAATATACTTCATATAAAGTATGTAAAAAAATATCATGCTAAAAAATGATTTTTATTGAAGTCCCTTTTTTTGAAGCATAAAAATTTGGATTTAAATTAAATAAATTGTTTAACATAGTATCATAATGATCTATAAGTTTCAAGTAATTTATCAATCCATTGAAAAACTATAATTTTTTCCCCCCTTATTTTCTTTTCTTTATGTATTTTAAAAGAAAAAAATAATACTTAGTAATGTGATGTTAACTAATAAGTATTGTTATTATGTTATTTTATTTTTGTTAACTAATAGTTGAGTGATGTACAAATATTTAAAATTTTATAATTTGTTCAAATTAAATTTTCCTTTTGTATAAGTCTGTTGAGGGCAACAGTAAGGTCAGGGCTGGTCGAGTGTTAACTCCACAAGGTTGGCCAAACTGTTGTCCAGAGGCGTCGGCCCTGTTTAACGACTGGACGACATGTTTTAGAGTTTGTTGAGCACCAGACGTCTATCTGTGCAATTATTAAGTTTAGTTAATTTTGTGTCGGTTAGGTTAGGTTAGGCTAATAATAAAGATAAGTCGTTAAATATTTTATTGTTAGTGTTGTTATTCTGTCGGACCATTGTACCACATGTATTGTGGATAAGTTAACACTTATATAATTGATTTACTACTAAAATAAATAAATTCTGATTCAATTTTAGTATTATATCAACCATTTTCTTTTAGTGATATTTTTCAGATTTGTTTTGATTACAAATATTTAAACATCTTACGTAATAAAACTCAACTATATATTATAGGTAGTTTGAAAAAAAAACCTTCTTCTTGGTATGCAAATGTTTTTAAACTAGCAAAAGTACCAATGTACAATGAAAATATATTTCAATAATTCATTCAAATATTATAAATACAAGTAATTTACAATTATACGATGCTATATGTTTATACGTACGTTTATTTACAACATGAACATGTTACTTGTCTATATAACTGTTGTAAACAATTGTATTTGAATTTAAAACATGTATAATAACCAGGCACATGGTGCTTAATAACCTAAAAGTAGTTGTAGACTACAAAATACGAGCACACAACCCGCATCAGGGTAAACTACAACTTAAAAGTGGTAGAGTAATCCATAACGACCCATAATTGATCGAACCTAAACTAACAGGTTTTGCCGAAATCAATATACACATACGCACCGCCAGAAATTCTATCAGGAAAGTGCATCATGCATAGTATATACAATAAATAAAAACTATATACGATAAGGTGACCATACATTCCTAAAACGGGATTGTCCCTTTTTTTATCATTACGTCCCGTTGTCCCGACAAATTTTGAATAGGACGCACCCCTTGCTCCTTCTTGCGGCACCCATAAAATACATATTTAATTTTATAAAATAGGGCACTATAAGATCTAATAACAACATAGGAATTATGAATTATTAACATGATTGCAAATTTTCGCAAGAGACAGAGGTTATTATAAAATGTTTCATTTTTTTTTTTTTTTTTAATTTACGTCACAAAAAAACAATCTTTAATGTGCATATATATGTTATTTAAATGTTGTACTGATAAATAATTACAATAACAATCGCATATAACAGAATAGCCTCTTCAATTGTACGCTTTTTGTTTATAGACATCTTTTTCACAATGTTGCTACGTTATAATACGGGAAAAGTTTATAGAAACACTTTTGTTGGAAAAAAGCACAAAAATAAATTACCGAACTACGT